GCGGATCTAAGACGATGCGAGCGCCTCCACCCGCCCCCGCTCATCGCTACCGTTGACGGGACCGGCAGCTTCATCGACCCGACAGAAGGACGCGCGCGTCCCCGTTGGCCGCGGGGTAACGCCCGGGCCACGCCTCCGCGACCGACACCGACCCTCGCACACCGCTCCGTACACCCTCTCACAGGGTTATTGATGTTTTTAGACTGCCCGCGCGTCCATCGGAAGCAATAGTGGCTCTCTCTCTTTCGCTCTCCGTACCGGAAAGAAAATAGAAAATACCTAAAAGGAAGAAACGAAAATCCGACCGTTTTCGCGTTCTTTGCGCCCTGTTGTCGCGCACCCCGTGCGCGACATTAAGACGATGGTAAACCACCCTTAGCCTCGAATACCGCAAGACGTTCGATACGCGTCCATGTGCCACGTGTCTGTTGGAAAGCGACCGGCCGGTAAAATCACCAAGTAGCACTTCGATGTTTTTATCGTTTGCGAGCCGTTCGGGCGCCGACAGCGGATGGTGTCCGTTTGTTGCGCTACATGTACGTGTGTCAATGCACGCGAGGAAAAGCGATCGAAAAGCTGCGCTATCGTAGCTCTATCGTCAACGGACCCTAAGAGAATAACAACAATCTAATGGGTTTTTATGCATAGAAACACCGCGATGTAAAACTGTTGAAAAACAGTAAAAGAGTGTTTGTACTTGATACTAACCGTATAGATATTACCGATATGTTACTCATATACTTTTACGGACCGGCACTTGTTAGCCGCACCCCTTCGGTGAACAAAACGAGTTTAGTAAAGTTACTTACACGTCGTTTAGTATTTAAATACCGATTTTGCTTTTTGCTTTATCATATTGTAATCGGTATGTATATCATTTAAATACCTAAAAATTTTATGCATATACTTTTCATATTTATAATTGTACGAGTACAATTATTATTGGGCTGTAATCTGACGTTTCAATACAAATTAACAGTACATAGAATAAGTCTGAACATTTCAAAATGTGGTTTTTTTTTTTTAAAAAAAAAGAAACAATGTTAAACATCGTATTACTTTATAAAAAAAAAATATTCGTTAGCAGCGCTCAATAATATGTTGAATTGTATAGCGATAACATTTTAATGAACATTATAGTTGTTGGTTATAATTTGATAGCGGATCTGTAGATTTTTATATATTTTTACTGGCTTTATGCAGATTTACGAGGATGAAAAATGTGGACGATTTATCTATCATTGAGTTCTTAGGAAAAAATTTACTTTGCATATTTTAGCATATTTTGGACATTAGAGAATATTTAGCTTATTTTTCATATTTTTAAATATATATTCATTTATTGTTCATAAAAAATCATATTTTATTAATTTTTCTAGTTGTGATTTTTCTAGGAAAAAAAATTTAATTGTTATATTTATATTTCTATATATAGAACTGTTATCTATTTTTTTCGTTTAAATAATTTATCTTTTACCAAGGAATGATGCATACAAGTTGTTCATTGTTTTTTATATATAATTTTATTATATTTATACTCCTATGTATGAACTGTTTTAAATTTTATATTTAAATGATTCACCTGTTACCAAAGGAATGGCCCATAACAGTATTTTAATGTTTTATTAAATAATTTAAGAAAACAAAGTCATATTATCTGCATATTTACAAGTTTAAGGAATACTTAGATATTATTTTAGGGTTTTTTTTAGAGCATATTAGCATCATATTTTAAGCTTTTGAAAACTTAAAAATCCATTCTTTAGTTATAACGAATATCCATTGAAAATATCCGTTGAAAAACGACTCATATAAAAAGTATCAGTTACAGATCCAAAGTTATTATTAAGAAGCGTTTTGGTGAAGATTAAAGAAAAAGAAATTTAGATTGTGGGTTGCATTATGATTTTAATATTCATATGATATAATATTATAATTAGCGAAATCTAACGTGAATCTATTTAAGCTGTAGAATTTTATCGCATTCAATATCCGAGTTAACTAACACAAAAACAATAAGTAAATTATCGGGGAATTATCATCGGTTCATCACGAGTGTAATATAAGTTTTCAAATTATAATATTGGTATCGAATTCAAATACTGCGATACCAAATGTTTTTTGTTAAAAGTTTTGTATAAAAAAAAAAAAAAATTTAATGTCATATCTATTGTTTATTCAGCATTTGATTGTGATTAAATATATACCCTTCACCAATAGTTACCAATTGGGCTTACATGAACCCGATTTAGGAGAACATGACATTTTTGGGATAGGAAAAAAACAAAGAACATTTATAATTTTGTTGAATAAATTGTTAAATTTTGATGGTAGGCCGAAGCAGAATCTAATTTTCGTGAATAAGGGTGAATCGAATCTAAAAGACAAATATATATATATATTGTAATGGTAACAATTTTTTTTTGCGTATAAAGAAACCGTCCGGAAAATATACAATAAAAATATAAAAACATTCAAAAATATTTCCTTATTATCATTTCCGATTGAATCACTGGAATTTCGTTAAACGTTTTTTTGTTGTATTTATGGTATTTTATTAGAAATGCTACAAAATTATTAATGTTTCTAATCAAAATGAGTAAACACGATTCACTATAATAACACGTGTGTATACTCCCTCCCATAAAAATAATATCATAAATATTTCATATAATAAATATAATATAATATTTCATATTGCATACCATAGCAATCAAATTGTATTTCAAAAGTTGGTTTTAATTTTAATTATTAAACGTTCAACATTCGATTTATACACTTTTTATCGAGATTTCGGATTTCGTTCTAAAATTTCACATCGTTATTTTACAATCGAACGTTAATTATTGTTGATGTTATAAACAATAATAATATTAATAATCTTATTGATTTTGTCATTATAAAAATAGAAGAGGAAGAAAAAATAAAATTCGCGTCGATGGTTCGTTTGCATAGAAGAATTATTTGTAATACGCATGATATATCGGACGCGGTCGCGAACCCTTCGAAAATAAAACAAACCTGTTGTCGCACAATGTTACGGATCACACCACGTACGTAAACGTATTGCCGCGCGTGGAGTTCGATTTCCCACAATATAATATCCACAACTCTTCTTCGGCCGACTCCCCACATCAAATGTATCGAAATCACTCCGATCAGGTTTTGCGCGCCCTTTATTCGTAATAATAAATATCTTCCTACCGATAGTAACAATAATTATATTTCGTATTCTTGTTTTTTTTTCTCTTTCTTTTCCTCTCGCGATTCACGAACCGGGCCACCGATCAAACCCGTTCGACCGGCGACAACGTCAGCGTGCCGCGTCTTCCACGTTCGCTGCCCGGTATTCTCACGGTCCGAGTCCACTGTCGTCGAGTAGGGGATGTGAGTGGACAGGTTTTCCGGATTTCGATACGACGAGTATTCCGTAAACGGTTCGATCGCCAGTCCGATCGTAGATTTTCTCAAAGCGTCCACCGCTCGTAAGTAGTAAGTATTGCACGCAAAACATATTGTTTCAGATAACTCGAACCGTCGAACGGGTCTCTTGGAAAACTCGTACGCTCAGGACAAAAATATTATTTATAACGGTTAGAATAAACCACGGTTCAAACAAATATTTATATATAAATACTATATGCATGCTGCACAGACCGTCTGTGACCATTATACGCAGGTGAGCAATATGAATTTTATTGGTTACCTTAATCAACTTTACTTTTTTTCGTACAAAATTTTAAAAGAGACATTTGTTGTTGATTTACGTTTTTTCTCCCTGTCAAAACTATAGTTTTTATAGAAACGTTCATTAGATTCTTAAAATGATATTTCAACAGTGATACGCACTATATTCGTATTTTTATTAATTTTTACTACCTTTTCCCGGTTCACCTTATTCAACCTTATTTGATCGTTTTTAATTAAACTGACGTTCGTTCCAGCTTACGATTTAACGGCATTAATAACATTACACGTTATATTATTACATAAGACGTCGCTCATCCAATACTTGGGCTTGTTTATCGTCGATGTATATAATATTAATAATGTGCAATAACAAGCGATGTATGTGTGTTTGTGTGTGTGTGTGTGTGTGTGTGTGTGTGTGTGTGTGTGTGTGTGT